AAACATTTCAGAGACACAAACAAAAAAAAAATGAAAGGGAAGAACTTCCTTTGAAATCTTTGCAAGGAAGGAACAGAACAACTGTTCCCAGCTAGGTGATCTCAAATGGCAATACATTCATGAAGACACATCTCCTGCAAACAGTTTCATGCTTCCTTTTATTGATTAAAGACAATTTCATCCAAAGCAGAGCTTGGAAGTAGAGGAACAGTAGCAAGATTCATCAAGACTGAAGTGACACAGCTCATTTGGTTAGCAAGAGGAGAGCAGAAGTGGAAAAGCAAAGCTTAAAAACCGAAAGACCAGGTTTCAGTCGGGCATCCTTACGCTGTGAGGTTTATACGAGCACACCGCGCGTGCCTGTCCAGCTCCCCAGCAGCCAATCTTCCACCAACCTTGACAGAGGGATAAAGGGCTCAAAGATTTACTAAGTTCCCACAAGATTTTGTGGACCAGGCAGCCAGGGACAGAAAGGGAGCGTGTGCCTGTATGTCTTCGGATGGCTTGAAAGTAAATTGAACGCTTTATTAGACCCCACAACCCGCAGAGAGGGAGAGCGGTGCAGCCGCAGGAACCGCTTCGCGCAGAGCTCGTGCCTCCTCCTTTGCACCCAGGGGAACTGACGCCCAGCGAGAAGGCAAAGCAGACCCCAATTCCTCGGCCACACGTTGCTGATAACAAGCCAGGGCTTGGAGGGCTGCTGCGAGCGGAGTCTGCATAGGACCAACAAGGGAAGAGCCCTGGGAGTACGGAGCTTGGAGCCCACCCCACAGAGCAAGAGGAGGGTGGTTCTCCTCTCCTTCCATGCCCCCAGGCAGAGGGAACAGAGCTGAAGGGACCCAGCAACTTACAGAAGTCATGACCACAAAGACACCCCCGTGCTTGTGTCCTGAAGGAAAAGGCCCACAAGAATAAAGCCCCCACACGCAGGCTGGGCAGCTGCCCTCCTACCTGCTAGCCCCAAGAGCTGCCCAAAAGCCAAGTCCTTGTTTGCTCTACAGCGCCTCTCCACACCCACCTGGGAGGATGGCAGCACAAAGCCAAGACAGGGCGCACTGAAACACCTCAAAGCACAGCATTAAACAAGAAGTGGGGTGTCTTTTCCCCACCAGCATTCACTGGCCATGTTTTACAGTGCTGGAGGAAGACTGGGTGATCATCTCCACTGGGAACAGGCAGCGGGTTCCTCTCAAGGTGAGCCCCCCAGGCCTCTGCTTGGGAATGCCAGACAGCCCCAGGCACCCACTCGTTGGAGGTGCCCGAGCAACAGCAGATGGCTACAGGGTGTGCTGGTGGTGGTGGGGCACGTGCACGGCCACATCCTGCCCTCAAAGACGAAAAAAAAACGTAAGTGGAAACTGGTGTGCATTAAAGTCATGCTTTAATAGGTGACATTAACATAACAGACTGTGATATAGCTCTGAGTGCTGGAAAACACCCCGTGAACTCACTGCAAACACCTACGGCCAAAACTCTAAACCTGATCAGGATAGGGAACGGGTTGGTCTGAGCACTCCAGACTAGGGCTCACAGTGGAATCCCATTAAACACAAAAGCCAAACCACACATCACCGTAACAAGATTTATGATCTATGCCCCAACTGAGCACTTATTCACAATGAAAACTTCATTAAATAAAAAAATTACTATAAATCTGTACAAAAGCCACGATTAACAATTTCCTGTGAATCCTTTATGAAAGATTTTTCACTTAACATCTTCAAGTATTTATATCTGTAGCTGAGTGTATTCTTATTGGCTCTTTAACTCCTTAACTCCATTTGTTTGTAAGAAAAAGAGAATTTAAAACATTAAAGCTTTTTTCCAGCACGTGTGTGACCACAAACATTAGATGTTAAGCTTGCAGACTTGCATCCCCACACACATTTATGTGGCATGCTGGATCAGGACCTACAGTCTGGGAAGGCAAGTCCCCGATCAAATTCCTTGAAAGACGAAGCTTCTTAAGAGCTGTAGCAGAGAGAGGAAAAGCCATTGCCATCGCACAGGCTACTGCAGCTGCTCTCTGGCAAGGCAGGCAAGCCCCTGGCCATCTCCTACACGAAACAAACAGCACCTAAAACCTCCAAAAAAGTAAAACAAACAATCTGAGCAAACAGCAAGTCCAGACCTTCTGGCTGTTGGAAACGGTTTCCTCTGCTTCGTGAAACGGGTCCTCTGTTGTAAATCTCTAAGAGCAAAAGTGCTCAATTGTTTAATGCTCCTTCAAACTCGGCTGAAGACCATGTAAGCCAGGCAGAATAGCTAACAGGGAGGTCAGGAACATTATGGCAGGCAAACAGCTGGCAAGGTCTGAAAGTAAATTCTTGAGGGCTGTAAATAAACGAAGCAGACAAGCGCACCACCCCCCCCACCCCCCGCTCCCCTCAGAGCTTCAATTAACTGCCCCACAAAGCCCAGTGTTTTCCAGACATGCTGCACCCAAACGTGCCCTCACTGGCTGACACGCTGATCATCAGTGGTGAAACAATCCTGCCCTAACTAGGAAGTGGGTTAAATCTGACACATGTAACTTCAGGCAACGGGCCTGCAGAAAAGAGCCCCCCACAGGCCACTGCAAATTAACAGCAAAGTCTGAAAAAATGCCGTCACCAATACTTGTTCTGTTTTGGCGGTTGAGGAAGGAAGGCCCTTGAACCAGGAGTGGGCATAAATACCTGTGGAAGACTATCAAGGGTCTGAAAGCGGTGGAAAAACCTGCGGAAGAGCAGCTCTACCCAGTTTTATGCAAAGGCTGAAGGTTTTTCTCTTAGAAACCAAGAAACAGTTCATACTCTTGACAACTCTAACGAGCGCTACAAAGCAACTTCTGCGGGGGATAAAGGGAACAAATTACTCAGCACTTTGCACCCTGGAAAACAGAATCTTTCAAGCAAACGGCACCTTTGCCAGGAATAAATCTCCTGGGAAGGTACAGCCTTTCAAAACAACAAATAGAAGTTACACGGTAATAGAAAGGCCTGGCAAATTAGCTCATGCTGTCTTACATTAAAAATCATGTATTTAATAAATACTTGACGAGTTCAAAGAAGGAAACAGATCAGTTTTCCTCTTCTCTTTAAGAAGGGACATACTAGAATCAAAGCAAAGTGCAAAAATCCCTCTTGCTCCAAGATAGTCCTGAACATCAGATAAAACCAGGAACAGAACACAGCCTGTCTGTGAAGACAGGAGTTCTCCTCTCTAGGGTAACCAGTGAAGTTACTACAGACGATTAAAAAAGTGTGGAAGAGCGAAAGTCAGAGAGGGGCTAGCCTGAATCAGCCCAGGGGAAGTTTATTCTTCTGAGTGCTTCTGCTATCCAAATCATCAGGACTGGCTCCTAGCCGTTAGGGCAGCGTCAGCCCCGCTTGCTCAAGTGCTTGCCGTGCTGGTCTCACTCTGCAGCTACCTCCTCTTCATCAGGTTCTGCTGCACGCTCAGAGCTTTCAGGTTTTTGTGTTGCAGCCTCAGCATTGTCTTCTTCAGGGCAAGTAGATGCCATGCTCTGCTCAAGACTCTCTGGAACTGGTTTCTTGCCTGGGGCTTCTGCTTGCCCCTTTTCACTTGCATTTGCTGCCTTTTTACGCTGTTCTACCCCATCTACCTCACTTTTGCCTCCCAGGAGCGTGCTGTGGCAGTGGTGCTCATCACTCCTTGCTGTGACTTGGTCTCCACTCGACTTCAAGCCATCACTTACTGGAGAAGTCCAGCCAGTCTTGGGGAGCCTGGAACTAACCGGGGGTCTCACAGCCCCACCACTTGCATCACCTCCACCCTTCTCGCTTGTCACTTCCACAGCTGTGGTTTTCTCACTGACATTTTCTTTTTCAGCCTCCGTGTTTGCAACAGGTGGATTTAACTTGGCACTAGAGGCAGAGGGCCCCACGTTCAGGTTTATGGCCAAGTTGAACGTTTTACTTCTCGATGTTCTTTTATCAACTTTCCTCCGTTTCACAGCCGCATCGGCAGTCTCTGGCACTGTGGAGTCTTTGGTGCTTGCATTGTCTTCTTTCAGTGCCTCCTGACCCTCTTCTGCTTGTAAGAGTGGAACTGAGGGGGGGATTTCTGCATCAATTGCACATTCTCCCAGATTACGGGAAATGTTTTCAATATCAGTAGGGCTTTTCAGCAGTCCACTCTTTGCAGTGTCTGCCATATTTGCATCCAGTTTTCTCTTCTTGCTCTCCTTTGTGCAATCATTCTCTGCTGTACCCTGTACGTCTTCAGCCTCACTGTTTAAATCCTTCTCCTCCTGCGGGGTAAATGAAGCCTCTCTCTCCTCTTCACCATCTCCTTCCTTCAAACCACATTCACTTATCTTTTCTTTTACACCTTCATCACTCACTTTAGGCTGCAAGTTTGCAGCTTCTCCAGCTTTCTGTTCTTCCTCCAGAGACTGGTTCTGATCCTGTTCCACAGAATCATCAGGTTTTTTACCAGGAGTCTCCTGTTCACCTTCAGCCTTTTGGTGCAGCTGCGACTTGGCAGAGCGGGGTCTGTACTTCAAGAGTTTGTCGTGCGGCCCCCACCCGAAGCTGCCTCGAGGTTTGAAGTGTTGCCAAGCGTAGTGGACTAGTTCTCTTCTCTTCCGTTTGCTCCTGATGGTGAACAGGAAGTAATCCAAGGCACTTCTCTTGACATTTGGTAATGTCTCCTTAACAAGAGTTTCTGTTAGGAAAAACTTCACCAAGTGCACTTGATAGCGTTCATATCCCATCTCCCCCAGGCACTTCAGGATGCGAGTAATCCGCAAATTGTTGTGGCTGAACCTGAGTGAAACAGAGAAGCAAAGTTGTTAAGTGAAAGTCTTACAAGGCACTACGAACCTCTGGGGTACCTGCAAAATGTTTTGTGCGTTATTGACGGCGATCTGTTCAAGGCTATTAGATAAAGCAGATGGGAGTACAGGCGGGCTTGCTTCTAAAGTACCTACTGCTGCTGTCTGCCTTCAACAGCACCTTCCGAGTCCTTCTTGGGCTGCTAGGATTAATCACCTCAACTGCTTGGAAAGGTTCTGGCTTTTTGCATAAGTGATGCCAGTAGATAACAGCCACCAGGGTGGGTCAGACACACAAGTCCATGCAGCCCACCATCCCGTCCCTGACAGCGACCCTGCAGGGTAAACCTGTAGAAGAGCGTAAGAATACAGGCAGGTAAGGATGCTGCCAGTAATTCATGGCTTAGCTGTGTCTAGCTAAAGGCCTTTTTTTTTTTTTTTTTTTTTTAAAAATACTTGACAGTCTTCAAGTTGTTTTTTCTTTTGTGTGTACACCCAGACCTTCTAGAGCCCTGTTAGTATCATTAGGGCTACCAGAACACGAAGGGTCATTACTATCTCTGTGATTAGCCCTGCAATAACACAAAAACATTACCATCAATTTGCAGAGCACTCTTCAACCAAGGATTCAAAGCATTTCACCCACATTGAGACAGCTTTATAAACACTCAGGGAAGCATATGGAAACACTCCTAATTCGTAGTTTAAGAGAATACTGCAAAGGCAATTTGGCTACCTGTGAAAATATTCCAGTGATTCCTGCTTAAAAGACGGTTTTAAACACAAGCTCTGCTACAGAAAGTTTTAACATCTCCAAGTCTGTATTTCCTCCTTCAGCAGACCGTCCTGCAGGACGCCTGCTGTTAACAGCTGCACGGCACACAAAAGACAACCAGTCTCGGCTGGTTACTCACCATACCTGTCACTTACTAAAGTCACAGAGAGTGTCACGACCTACAGTCAGAGGCTGAGCCAAGTCAATAATACTTTAGCTAACTTTGTTATCCACAAACCCCTCCATTCCTCAAGGGCTGAGGATTTTCTTGACTTTTTTTTTTCTTCTCAAAGAAGCACCTGGCTGTAGTAAATGACCAGCAGTACAGAGACTCACCGGTTCAAGTTCTGAAATCGTTCAGCCCAATTCTTTGCTCTCTCAAGTTCTCCAGTTTCCTCGCTGATCAGAGTGATTCCATAAAATCTCAACATGAGCCGATAAGCACATACAAACCTTTGCATAACTTCCTTGGACTTCTTAAAGGCCTGAAAACAAGACGGACCAGTGAGTACAAGGTGCAACTCCCTAATCACCCTCGCCAGTTTAAGTGGCACCTGATTTATGAACAAGGCTTGAATATACCACTAAGCATTTCAGTTGCTGGTGCAGCTACTGGCAGACAAATGCTTAAGAGCGCTTGAGTGAGCTCTGTTCACACTAGGGCCCCAAGGAAGCAATGTAAAAAACTCTAGACTTCAAATGTAAGGCATTTAGGGAAAACCCTAAACACCCTTCAGATCTCAAGGAAAAAAAAAAAAAAGACAGAAGCTTTCAATACCAGAAGCTTTCAATACCTGGATTTCTTGACACGTGAGTGGTTTGGCACGCCAGTTCATCCCATGTTCACGTAAAGGGAACAGCCTGAAGGGAAAGAAATTTTCAGCCCACATGAGCAAAGATGACATCCAACCCAGGGTACCCATTTTGTTACAACTAAAAAAAGATTCAAAAAACCTGCGATATCACAGGCACCTCTTGGAGACCTCACACCCTTATGGACACAGAAGTAGTTTACTACACGACAAATAAATCCCTCCCAATAAAAGCACTGTCTACACCAATGATAACAACATACTTTGCTTCTCTGGATGTCTCTCGTTGCCCTCAGACTTTGTTCTGCAGCATGCCATAAGACCAAGCATGACTGAGACCTATTGCCTAAGATCTTGTGTCTTCAGGATTTCCACTGCATTGCTTCCAGAAGAATGTAACTCAATAAAAATAAAGTGGACCCAGGTTTCACTCAAGAGTAATTCTGGGCCTTTTAGGAAGCTGAATTCAGGAACAACTGACTCTTAAAAGAGGCACAACTAAAGGAAGGCACTATATCCATGCAGACAGCTTACCACTGTATGTAAGAATGGTTTTCTTCCAGAACTTCATAGTTGTCCCACCAAGATTCAAGCAGAGTTTCAATACGCAAACCTCAAAAGAAAAGGAAAAGGTCAGGCAAGAAGAAATGACACCAAATGAAAATTAAAGTTAGCCAGTCACCCGGGGTGGCTCACTATCCAGAGCCAGGTGTTTGCATACCACCAAACAGAAAATTAAGGAACATACAGCAGGAAAAAGGGCATTTTAAAATGGAAAATCTTGGTGGGTTTTTTTTGTTTGTTTTGGGTTGGGTTTTGTTGTTGTTTTGTTTTGGTGGTGGGTTTTGTTTGGTTGGTTTAGTTTTTTTAATCAAATCGTCACACGGGGATCGAGCTACCCTTTCACCAATTCAACCAGCTGCAGCAGAGCTGCATCAGCCATCACACGAGGTACTCACCACGGGGCGAAAAACAAATCTCATTTTTATAAAAGCTTAAGTTCCACATCTCTTCTTCCGCCTCATTTTCTGGTTCCACCAAACCCTGGAGATGAGAACAAGAAATCAACAAGCAGCAATCTTCTAGAAGGCAGCAGTCACTTCAACACTTCTTGCTTTCCCTCACATTTCCTAAACGTTTCAGGCTAAATCCTTAAGATGTGTTTCGGGAAGTAACAGCTTGTTTCTGATGCACCCACACGCACATCATCCCTTCCCCCTCACAAATGAATCCTTTAAAGGTTCCGAGCCTGTCAATGTAAAGACAAAAGGGTGCCCTCAAATCCAGAAAGGGTTTCTAAACTCAGTAGGTGATGAGGAAGAGCCACAAGGGTATGTGCATCATCACTTAGTCCATACCGGGTAATGATGTCTGTATCTCTGCAAGTCTTTAGCTGCATTCCAGTTGCGCCTGCCTGAGAACTAGAGAAAAGAGACAGATCAGAGATCCAGAATAAAGTTGTCTTCTGCAAAAAAACCAATAATCCACTGGCTGAATTCAGCATCTCACCCGCATTCCCCTGCCTATCGCTCTCCTGTGCCCTCAGCTCGGCACTCCCAGCACCCCCAAAACCAGCCAGTTTGTTACTGCCGTTGTTTCTCTGCATTCCTAACGAAAACTTTGGAGTAAGAGAAGTTCACATCACCTTCTTTAACCAAAACATTTCTTTTTCTTTCTAGTCTTATTAATCATGGTTTTTGTGGTTTATGCCTATCTTTTATCCCAGTTAGATTTTCCTACAGAAACTAGCTGAACTAGCTGCAAATCCCAAATAGTAAAATGTCATTTTCTTCCTTAACTCGAAGGTTTTAAAAGAAGATGAACTAAGCCCTGTCTGTCTGAGTCACTATATACCCTAGTCAAGACAGATCAGACTTTAAAATTGTAGAATTTAAGATGCAGAAGTATCCCTTAAATTCAAGATTCACATTCCTTGTAGACATTATTGAAATCAAGTTTTCTTCATCTTTGCTTTTTGCTTGAGAGCAGCCTTGATGATTTAGCATCATGCTGATCTAGACTGTGGACAATGACAGAGCCACATGGCCATATGAGATATTTATTTTATTGGACTTCCATTCCAATCATGTTCTTCATTACTGCTTATCTCTCCAAGTATCCAAACTTTACACCAAGCCTACCTGAAAACACCTCTGAGACAGCAGTGACGAATTTGATCTTTGCTCCTACAAATAAAAGGCATTTAGTTGAAACATTCTGAAAACAAACTTCACCAATAAAATAAAAAAACTATATACGAAATGTGAAGACCCATGGCCGTGACTCACATGATCCCTGTTAGTTGCCAAGTGACAATTTACCTAGTTACAGCTGAATTCACTTGATTTTATTCATAATTCAAATTGCTGTAGAGGAAAACCTGTGGTGCCACATCCACCTGACAACGAGGGTCAGGTTCTCCTCACTACACAGATGTGCTAGATTCATTCCAAATGTAGCACTTAGAAACCACAAAGAGCAGCTTCATTTCTTCCTCTGAACTTCACAGAAACAAAAGTTGCAAGTATGACTTCATTTAAAATGCATTTTTACTGAATTATTATTTTTCCCCCACAGTGGATTAGTTCAACGAGAAGAGATTTTGTTACACTTCACAAGCAACGCAGACAGGTTTAATCTTGCCGAGTGCTGAACCACCTTGCCCCAAACCAGGAAAGCCCTTAGAAGTGTTTTGCCAAGGCAGAACCACCAAATTGAACAAGACTGCTCAGGAATAAAAAGACCCCCCCAATGCGAAGCACAGTGCAGTTAGAGCGTCCAGTGCCAGCTCCCAGCAAGAGCAGGGTCTTTGTGAAACAGGGGTAAGATGTGCAGAACTCTTGCAAAATAAGCATTTTAAGAAATTTAGAAGAAAGAAGCAGCAAATGCTCTCCCAAGTTGGTTTTCTTTTTAACTTCACTTGATAGTTCTTACCCTCATTTGCACAGAGAAAAATAAAAAACCAAAACCACTTTCTACAGAACACCGATCACTGGTTCATTAATTACCAAGGCAGGAAGGGGATTCACTTTTGTAACACCTAGTGGTAATGAAGTCATCCATTCAGCTGCCCTGTTGATGGCTAATACTTAAAATTTATGAAGCACACACGGCATTTGGGAGACCAAACCTTCATCCATAGAGGAAGGTCATCACAGCAAAACTTTTAAAATTAAATTTTAAAAACACGTTCACACACTATGAGTCCCCCACACTTTGGTGATAGGAATTAAATAAAGCTCAAGTTGTTTTTTAAATGTACTAACTTGTGACGACCTAAGATAATGCCTCGCAACACACTTCCATTCTAGACTGACAACACGGACCAAAATCAGTGGCAGAACTTCCCACAGCGACAAGGCCCACACGGGATTAGAAATCCAGGCACTGGCGTCCACCCCCAGCGCCCACCAGCCTGCAGAAACGCACACACCTACAAAAAGCTTTGCTACACAGCTAACGTGGGGAAAAAGTAAGTGGCTGCAAACACAAGACTAAAATATGTTCAGCCCCAACAGATCAGCATCATCCTTTTGTTCAAGATGTAAGCAGAGACCGAGATTTAACACTCTGAAATTCGTCGATGCTTTTGACCCTAACTTTTGTACTCCAAGGATGAAATTCTGATACACGTGGAATTAATGAAAATTTTGTTCTCACTTACAGAAGAATCGATTTCCAGATATTCTTTACACTTAAGGTTCTAAAATAACATCGTTCAACACAGTCGGGTGGGACAGGCTGGCTGTAGACTAGCTCCACTTGTGAAAAACAACCGGCTTGCTGAAGAGTAAGCGTGGATACAGAGACAGACGTCACGCCATGGTGCAAGGTGCTGTAAGCCTTGTCTAGAAAGCAGCCAGCTCCAGAAGAAAAGCATTCTGGAGCACAGCATTAAAGAGAACAAGATGGGGAAGCAAAGACAGCAAAACTCAGCCCTCCCTCCCAGCAGGCGTTGTTCCTGGGTCTCTATAAACCTCCATTTAAGCCACACCAAAACATAACCTTCTCTTTCTTAGAAAGACAAACTGAACTGCAAGACTGGACCTTGCACACACAAACCAAACCTCCTTACTTCTCACAACACTGACAGGCAATCTAAGTGGGTTTTCTCCCTCCGAACCTGCAATGCGTCCGTCAGAACGCGCCTGGCTGTGCAAAGAGCGTGAGCAAAGCGGAGAACAAAGCCCAGAGGGGGTAACACAAACAAGATTTAGCTGAAAACTGGAAACCAGCTGCACCCAAAAGGGATGAAAGAACGTGTGGATTGTGAACAAGGCATGGGAATGAGCAAGAGAACAGAATCCCAGAAGAGGGATCGGAACCTTTTGTCGATGAAGAGGTGGGAGAAGGCAGAACTGCAGGGCTTGTTATTAAAACACGGCTCTGAGCAGCGGAACACGAACCCCGTGCGTTACGGCAGATGAAGAAGTAACCTTCTTAAAATGAGCACAAACGCCAAGATTTTCAACGCTCACTCTTAGGAGCTAAAAGCACCAAGGCACAGAAGAGCTGAAAAGACACACCTGCAGGAATTTCAAACCGCGAGTATGGAGTATTTGCAGAGACGCAAATGAAGTGCAAAGATAAAAGTAGAACTTTAAGTTGTTTTTGAAAGTGCATAGTGAAAATAATAATAAAAAAACTCCTCTAACCTCAGTATTGAATAAAACCATTAGCAGCTTCAGCCATAAAGTATACCATCTAGGCTGAGGGGAAAAGAATGAGAATTAGTGTCATATAAGCAGAAGAGGAACTAGTTCTGGAAACTGATTCAGGCCTTTGGCAGGTTGTAAAGGCATAAATAGATAGCAGAAGATTTACTGTTTCTTTTTGTATTCATTCTCACCGCCCTGAAAAATTTTTGGGGCATGGTCAGACAGAGGACACTACACATTCCTCGGTGAAGGCAGACCTCCTCTTGAAAGACGCAGCACAATATTCCAGGGGCCGTTAAGTCTCAGGGACAACATCCCCCTTTGTAAGGCAAAGTTTGAACAGTCCACTCACTGAAGTAGAAAAACAGTCTTTGCTTTGACAGTGGTCACAACCCAGAAGTTGCTCTAAGAAAAAAA